TTTAAAGCAGAAAAAGGATACGGTCTCTCGTGAAACCATAAACGATATTATTAAGTGGATACAATTTGTTTATTCATTCGTTAATAGACTGCTATGTTTTTTATTCAAGTAAAACAATGCTGTAGTCTTTTGTTTCAACCCATATTATAATAGGCCAGGATTATAGTCGCAAAGGACATACATGTAATACGAAATAATAATCCATATTTCGTGGTTTAACTATACCGTTTCACGTTCATATGTGTATTTATCCGCAAGCCGCCTTTGTTCCGTTTCTGTAACCGAGGGACTTTCACTGGTAGGTAGATGATGTGTGCGGGTTATATTGTAGCTTATTTCTTTCAGTGATACGCCGACAAAGTCGCGGGCGACCGCTAGTTCTAACTAAGAGATAAAGTCAAACAAACAAGGCTCTGCGCTTCGCTTGCGGTTCTTCTTTTTAATTTTCAACATAAAACAATCAAACCCAAGGTCAAAACACAAAGATACTTAATTTAAAATTTTCAGAAGTTTTTATAGCACCGAAGAAAACAATGAATCTCTGTTCATTAATTAAATAAGCTATAAATTAAGATTCCAACATAACTTTGGATTGAGTTTAAAACCATTGGAATGAGCAGTTTTAGGGAGAAATGAGTACTGAAGACAGTTTTATTATTTTAGGGATTTCAATTCCTACATTGCAACAGTTTCATTTTTGAAAATCTTACTAATATTATTAATACCAATGTTTAGATGGATGGATAGACGGATGTTTGTTCGGATCTCGATGAAATTTATCATACATACATAACATAGTCTGAAAGAACACATAGGCTTGATTGAGTTTTTTGTAATTCCGCGCAGACGTACTCGCCGGTGACCGCTTGTGAGTAATATTTTTTATAGGAGAAGGGGGGCAAAAAAGCAGCGGGAACATCGAGGTGTTCATCGACAAATAATTCAACTAATTATAAACAGTTTAACCTTTAGATTATATTACTGTAATACTATATATACTTGTATAGTACCCAGGACATCGTAGCAGGCAGAGTGTAAAAAAAACAATAAAAAATGTTCTCACGTAGTTAAAGATCGATATTGAAACATTTTATTGCCCATAACGTCTATATTGACTTTATTTCATACATTTATGTCTACCTCTCAGATCATGTTCTCACATTTAGATAATAAGTTACCTATTTAAAGATACTAAAAATTTCGGCAACGGAGACGCAATTCGTGGAGTTCTTTGCATATTTTACTGATGTATTACACGATTTACGTAATTTACACAAAACTTTTTTCAAAATTAATAGCACTATATGTCAGAAATATTATTTGCTATTTTTCTCTACGAGTATCAACTTTATAATATCATTTTTCCGGGCGTAAAGTATTCTATGAAGTTTGATAAAAAGCTTTTAAAAGTCAATTGATGCTATACCACAATAGCTTCACGATGGCTTCCTACGAAACTTCATTTTATTATAAGTGTTCCTTTATAAAATTCAAATAATTGTATAGAAATGTCCTAATAGATTTAAATTAAAATTACCTGAAGAATCTCACAATTGATCGGTGACATATTTATTGGAAGCGTTTCAAGATAACAATCTTACTAATATTATAAATGCTAATGTTTGAATGGATGGATGAATGGATGTTTGTTTGAAGATATCTCCGGAACGGCTGAACGGATCTCGCTTAAATTTGGCACATATATAGAACATATTCTGGAAGAACACTTAGGCTACTTATTAAGTTTTATTTTTTATTCCAAGCGGACGCAGTTGCGGGCGATAGCTAGTAATAAAAATACAGATTCGAACATAAACTTTTGCAAGATTTTATGAAACGTAGCGAAATTACTTACTCGTTTATCGTCCGAAATTTAATTTACCGTGGGCGATTCACACACAAGCTACTAATACCCCATTCCTTGGACCATTGGCGTTTAATTAACTTGCCATGTGGAGCGGAGAATGAAATATAAAAATTACTATTGGTAATGGTCGTAAAAATCACAACAAAATTTTATAGCACTCGAATGAACGAGTATATTGCTTTGTTCAGATATAACACAGATAGCTATGTCCTAGGCGATACACGTTATTTCATTTTTAACATCTGTCGCCTGCGACTCCATCCACTACACACTGGTATTAAAAAAAATTATAAGTAGCCTATGTGTTCTTTCAGACTATGTTCTACATCTACGCCATATTTCATCAAGATCCGTTGAGTAACTACGAGGTATGCTTTTATTACATTTATTCCATTCGAATATAGAACAGTTTCAAATACAATATTGCAGGGAAATATTGAAACATCAGAACTGAAAAGGCATGCCTCGTACCATCTAATAAACATCCATCTATATAAAATTTCGCATATATAATATTCGTTAGAGAAAATAACGTTTCTTATTTAGTGCGTTTCGATGCTCTGCATATCAAGGTGTCTCAAAAATGGTACTTGTATATAACACTTATGTATGCTTCTACTAAAGATTAAATACGTAATGCCTGTGTACTAAGACGCTCTCAAATAAGGGACAAGATATCTCCTTTATGAGCAATCTAAGTAGCCGTACTCAAAACTTGATAAGCCTAGGTAGCTCAGTGCATAATATAAATTATAAAATTAAGTAATTACTACAACTTCCTAATTCTCAGTTTATGTAAGTAGTTGTTTATAACTTATAAAGTTACGTTAATTATCGCCGCTAAACTTTAACATTGGCACAATTAACTTAATTGCCTTCTAACTTAGCATAAACTAAATTCATAACTAGAGGTAATTTTATCAAAGTAAAAAAATAAATTCGTTTTCAATAGCCGATCACCTTAAAACAACTTCGTAGACTAATACTCATATTAATATTATAAAAGCAAATGTTTAGATGGATGGATGGATGGATTTTTGTGTGAAGGTATCTCCCGAACGGCTAAAAGGATCTTATTGCAATTTGGCAAAGATGTATAATGTAGTCAGGAAGAACATATACTCGTAGGCTACTGAATATCTCTTTTTTTTAATCCCGTTCGTATCTAGTCGAGGGCTACAGCTAGTAAACAATAAATTAATAGAGCTAGGCCTTAATATAATCGTAAATTGAGTTGCTCATTCGAAAGTATTACTTGTTCAATGTTACATTACAAGGTTCTGCAATTTGATCCACGGAAGGTTAGGTGCATCAAAGCAAGTCCGTGTGAGTTTCATTCTTTGTTTCGCATATTAATTCTTTTTTTTTGGCATCTTGATTTTTAATTTTAAAGTTATTATTATATACCCGTATTAAATTTGATATTTTTCTGAACATACATTAATTATTAACATAATAGCTATCGCCCGCGACTCCGTCCGCGCGGAATCAAGAAAACTTAATTAGCAGTTTTTTTTACAGACTGTCCTGTTCTTCATCTATGTCATATTTTAGCGAGATGCATGCAGCCGTTCTGGATATCCCTTTTAGCAAACATTCATTAATCCATCCATACATACACCCAAACATTCGCATTTATAACATTAGTAAGATAAGATTCATAAATAATTAATTATCAATTAGAATTAAACAACAATTTTACATATAATTTTATTTACTTTGAATTAAGAAAACTTAAAATTTTCCAGAAGAGCCTATGAGTCGATTTCTTATATTCAATATTAAGATCAGGATATTTAATCTATGTTCCTTTATTATTTTGCTACCCCATCTCTCGCTATAAAATTCTAATTTTATTTCAATTATTATATTAAATAATTTCGTACATTTACGAGTATATCGTTCATAATAACTTTGAAGGACAAAAATAATTTTCCTCTAAAAGTGTCCATGTAACGTTATCTCAGTATCACAGGAGTTCCTCCCTTCAAAGAAAATTACCTATTAATATAACAGAGCTGGCAATATTTTGTTCTATTAAAGGTGACGCATTTATTGAAAACTAGCTATCGCCCGCGACTCCGTCCGCGCTAAATTTAAATTAAAAAAAAAACTTAATTAGTAGTCTATGAATTCTTCCAGACCGTGTTCTATATATATATACCAAATTTAATAGAGATCCGTTCAGCCGTTCTAGAGATACCTTCAAACAAACATCCATCCATTCATCCAAACAATTGCATTTATAGTATTAGTAAAATAGATTTTTTTTAATTTAATTTAGTTGATTTATGTTGTAGTAAGCAAGCTGATTTTTATATTTATTTATATACTTACTAGCTGTCACCCGCAACTTCATTTGCGCGGAATTAAAAAAAAGTTAGTAACCTATGTGTTCTTCCTGGCTATGTTCTTCATCTATGGCAAATTTCGGTGAAATTCATACAGCCGTTCTGGAGATACCTTCTAAGATCCATACATCCATTCATCCAAATTAGCATTAATATTATTAGTATGATGGCTGTAATAGATAGTAGTAATGATATAAATTAAATAATTAATTTTAGTATACGTAATTAAACTACACCTAGATTTAATCATTTACTAAAGAAAGCATCAATAATATAATAAAAATTATAGTTAACTAACTATCGGCCGCGACTCCGTCCACGTAGATATATAAAAAAACTTAATTAGTGTTGTATGTATTCTTTCAGACTTTGTTCTATATGTATGCCAAATGTAATCGAGATCCGTTCAGCTTTACTAGTGATATCTTCAAACACCCATCTAACCATCCACATCACATCCATCTAAACATTCGCATTTATGATATTAGTAAGTTAAATTAAAAGCAGCTCTTCAAGGCATACATTCGAAAAAAAAAATAGTATCCTATGTCCGTCTCCTGGCTCTATGCTATCTCCTCATCAATTTTCAGCCATATCGGTAAAGCCATTCTTGTGTTATAAATAGTGTAACTAACACGACTTTCTTTTATGTATATAGATAAATAAAATATCATTGAATAATAAACAATAAATGTTCATTATGCTTAGAATTCAATGAAATCAGTTCAATGTAAAAAAATAACTGACCGAGTTTTTATATCATTGTGGTAATCGCGTGCGCAGTTCCAGGCCAGTTGCAATTATATTTTAGTAAGTGTCGGACGTGTTACAGTGAAAATAAAAGTTGTTTACATTTAGCTCATAGTTATAAAAAATCTAAATTTAATATTGTGTGATAATAAAAATTGTGATCGCTTGTACCCTTGACCTCCGATCACAGACAGAAACCTTCAACGAGTCAATTATTGCCAGGAAATAAACAGGTAATTATTCTATTGCTATAACGTTCCAAAGATCATTTTGAAAAGAAATGTTACGTAATATTTTTTGTTTATTTTTAGAAATTATTATTATTATACAAAATAAAATATGCAAGAGAGGTTACTCCGAAAAGTTGCATTTTAAAAAACATTTGAACTTGAAGTTCGTTGATCTTTGAATCGAATTGTTCAAGTCATGGCGATGGGAAATATAATTAACTTTAAAGGAAGTCAAATCAAATCGCAATTGAAAAAATCTAACATAAAAGATATTCCCTAAAATCAGTAAGCGACTGTACGGTTTATTATTAACCATGAAAACAATATTCATGGAACCAGGACGATGACTTTGTTATTTATTAAACCAAAGAAAACTAAGAATACAAACAGGATTTATTAATTTATAAATTATTTGTAAATGTTAAAAAAATGTAAATACGTAATAATACGATCAACGTCAAGATAGAGCAACAACTATTATGTTTCCGTGGTCGAACTGGTCATGACCGTGTTCTTAACTTTTGTTTTTCTTGTATTGTGACCAACGCGGTCATTGTTTTTAAGTCATTTGCAAAAAATCTTTACCTCATTTCTTAAACATTTAAAACTAGCTTCTGTGTGAAATCAAAAATAATTAACCCTTATTGTGGCAAGATTTCTTTTTTGAAGAAAAGGAAAAAACAAAGTTAAAAATTATTATATTTTATAGTGATCGTATATTTTTATAAAGTTGTCTGTACATATGGTACACATTATTGTTACGTATGAAATGACTGAATTCAATTTTAATTTTACAAAACACTATTAAGGTTATTCCATGCCGTCTATCGAAGCGCAAAATTATACATTTGTACAATGAGTATTTTACATAAAGAGTCTTAAATTTTTATTTATGTTACATTTAAAATTAACTTTCAATGTTATAGTGCAAGCTATTTCTTTTTTGATCTTCAAGTGTTATTATCAGTCTTCTAAAAAACTACTAAATACAGTTATACTCTTTTATAAAGGATACTTAAGAACAAGTAGCCCTAATAGGTGATTAGATTAAATAGGAAAAAATAATCGTTTCTGACGCACTTGTCTTGATGTAGGTGATACGAATAAAGTTGAGATAAAATGAAAGGCATTATCTTTAACTACCTCTAACAATGATAGTAATTTATTGAAGAAAAAAAAATATTTATTCGAGAATATTAATTATTTGTAAGCGTAGGAACAACATTGAATTATAAATGTAGAAATTACAAGGTTATTTTTTTTGTTTTGATAGAAATATTATGAGTAATTAAGTGGTATTTTCAAATAATTTCGACTATAGGTCCTTCGAGGAGCGAGCGTACATCTCTAGGCTGGTCGTGCATCAAGTGTTGCAGATATCTATGTGTTGGTTAAAAAAATGTGGGTCTCATCAATTAAAAATCAAACCAATACTACTCGTTTACTACGTTTGACCTCTTCTATATAAAATATCATATAAACTTTACTGGTAATCAAAATGGCGATAAAAGCGGTTGACAATTAAATAGTTGAATGTACTTAAATAACATTGGGCCCTGTATATATGTTTAAATGCTCCCATTTTAGCCAACTTCAAAAAGAAGGATGTTATCAATTCGTCTGTATGTTTTTTTTAATATTAATTTCGAATCGAATTACAATAGTTTATAAATTTTACAAGACTATACTCGATACAAGGATGGACATATGGATTTATTTTTACAAATTCTGATCTTTGAAGGTTAGATATAGCAAAAACTTGTTCAAGCAACTTTAAATAATTATAACTTTATTATTCTCTGCGTCTTCGGATTATATAATACTAGCTGTCGCCCACGACTACATCCGCGCATAATTAAAAAAAACATAATTATTAACCTATTTGTTCTACATCAATGCCAAATGTCAACGAGATCCATTCAACCGTTTATAGAGGAAAAAAAATAGGCTGTACTTAGGGTTTTCTCGGTAATTACTCGTTTTTTTTCGAACTTTTTAAACCTTCCCTAGACCTCCACGAACATTTAAAGACTAAGATAAGATAAATCCGTTCAGTCGTTATCTAGTTTTAGCGAGACTAACGAACAACAATTGATTTTTATATACATATATTATCCAATTGTCGCCCGCTATACGGTTGTGCGAAAAAAATTTACTAATCTCCTATGAACTATTCCTGACTGTTTTCAAATAAAATTTCTTCCAGAACCATTCTGCTGTTACGCAACAACCATGCAAACATTATAACATTAGTGAGTTTACAAAGCAGTATGAAAGCAAAAAGATTCGTTAAAGCTACCTTGTTCTTAGGTATTTTTGGGCAAACCTGTTCTGGCGTTTGCAGTTTAGAACACAAACAAATTAATAACACAAAGCTTGTGTACATATTCTTCTGAATTGGCCTTAACACTATTTTGATATTGGTTTACTAAAATATTTGCAAATTTTTCAGGCAAAATGGCACCAAATACAGATCGAAAGCAAACTAGTTTCCCACACCTAAAGTATCCAATTTATAGAGACAACGATCCTAAAACAGCCTACCAATGGTTAAAAGGAAAACATCAATTGGACGGCGCTGAAGGTCTGTGGAGAATACACGATTCACTTTACGACTTGACCGATCTTATTTCAACACATCCTGGCGGCTCTCAATGGATAACTATAACAAAAGTAAGTTTGCGAATTAATACAAGTCATACAAGATTCAAACTTTATGGGTGCTCGTCGTTAACAGCGAGCACATATCTGCACAGGTAATATAGTAGGGATTGCATGAGTACTTATCCACCAAAGTGTTACGAAACAAAATTAGTCGGGTGTATATAAAGTAATTATTGCATTGCTCATTTACATTTTTCTATAATAGAATGCGAATAAAAAAATTACTGAATTGCAACGTATTTCCTGCCATTATTTACTTGAGATCTTATATCTTAATAGATTTATAAAACACCAGTTAACTTGCGTTACCACTATACATATTTATAAGCATACCGCTCTTGCTGTTTTAAAATTGTTGTAAAACAATTAACTGTTTTTACTTAAGCAAAATGTGTACAATTCCTTATGATTAAATTTGTCTTTTTCCCTTCAAAATAAATTATATTAAATTCAAACGGCTCACTCATAGACTTTGCATTACATTTTGCAGGGGACAGATATAACGGAGGCATTCGAAACACACCACCTCCTTGGCGTCGCAGAAACTTTATTGCCCAAATATTTTGTGAAAAATGTAGACACGCCTAGAAATTCTCCCTTCACATTCAAAGAAGACGGATTCTATAAGACTTTGAAGAGCAAAATACAAAAGAAATATCAAGAATTACCAAAAGATTTACGAAGAAAGAGTGACTTAGCTACTGATTTCTTATTATTTTCTCTTCTGGTGTCAAGCCTTGCGAGTAGTTATCTGTGGAAAGCTGATTACGTATTAGGAGGGATTGCAACAGTCGTCACGGGGTATATTCTTAGCGCGCTCACCACTGCAGCTCATAATTACTTCCATCGTGCTGACAACTGGCGAATGTATCTCTTCAATTTCAGTGGAATGTCATACGAGTAAGGCTAATTTATCACTTCTTTTTATTTGAAATTAGCTGTCGCCTACTTGTATGCGCGGAATTAAAAAATGTCTATGTATGTAGCTATGTCCTCCATCTATGAAAAATTCAGCGAGATCCATGCAGCTATTTTGGAGATACCTTACAAACAAACATTCTTCCATACAAAGGACATCCATACATACGCGTGCGACAGCTATACGTTAGTTAATGGTTTAATCACGTGTTTTTTTTTCACAGAGACTGGAGAATATCGCACGCTTTGTCGCATCATTTACATACGAACACAGTAAACGATTTGGAGCTGAGCATGTTGGAGCCATTCCTACAATATATGCCTGCTAAGGATAAACCTATATGGGCTCAAATGGCTTCTTTTTATTACCCTATTATATTTGCTTTCGCTACAATTGGAATGTTTGTAATAGAGTTAGTACAACATTTATTTAAATACACTAACGATATTCCGCGCCTCCGTCCGTGCGGAATTAAAAAAAATAATTAGTAGCTTACGAGTTCTTCCACACTATATTCTATATGTATGACAAATTACATTAAGATCCGTGTAGCCTTTCTGGAGATACCATCAAACAAACATCCATCCATCTGAACATTCGCATTAATAATATTAGTAAGTAGTAATAAAAAAATCGTATTTTTTCAGATTATTTACAGCGGTAATAAATATGGACGGTAAAAAATTAAGTTGGGCAAATGCAGTACAATTTTTCCTGCCATTATGGATGTGGTGTTTCGGTGGGCTATCTTTATCCTATACGTTATTATTATGGTTTACAATTACTGTAATAAACAGCATTTTCTTCATGTGTTTCGGCTTAACAGCTGGTCACCACTCCCATCATAATTTCTTTGATGGAGACATACCGAGGTATGTGACCTTTTTCATGTATTTTTCATTAAATTTATTCACATTGTAACTTTTACTGACAAGTATTATACATACAATGGACTACGAATAAGTTAAGTAAATGACTTTATTATTATAAAATGTCTAAAGTAAGTTTTAAATTTTGTTTATATATAGCTGTACTTACCGCTGTAATCGGAGTAGATTATTTATTATTAAACGTGGGTTTCCGAAACCCAAAATCTCTGTAAAAACATATCCTCATCCCTGTTATAATCTTTGACAAAACTAAAAAGAGAAATATATTTTAAACGGAGTTTTCGGTATCAGAAATCCACAGTTAATACCTTAAATAGGTTGGCATGACCAAACTTATACTAAAATTTAATTTCAGAGACGAATACTATGATTGGGGCATTCATCAGTTAGATACAGTATCTGAGAGAGTGGATGAAACCGACAACCATTTCAAGTCGCTAACTCGTTTCGGATTTCATGCACTTCATCATTTATTTCCAACACTGGATCATGCGGAACTACAATATCTTTACCCGACTTTTCTCGAACATTGTGATAAATTCGATGTTAAATATCGCACAGCTAGTTATATGAAATCATTTATTGATCATAGCAAACAATTGATAAGAAAACGACCGAATTACTTTAGAGATATTACGAGTCAGACAACTTATAATACGTTAAAACAATGAAATTAATATTTTTAGTTTCATACTATTTTTCACCTATGTTTCGGTGAAATTCGAAATTGTGATGGATGTGAATCAATTATTTGGGTAAAATAACTGTGATGTTTATAAAAATAAAGCAATTAATGTGAAATATTCGAGTATAATTTAAAAATTGTATAAATTAGCTATATTTATTGTTTTTCCCTTATTGAAAACAGTAAGGGGAAATATTAAAAGCATCCAAAACCAACGTACATATATGCATGTTTGAATGAATGTGAAAGAAACGAGCGAGGTGCGCCAGGACTGCGTTTAATGGAAAACGATAGACCATTGGGCTATGGGCATTTGGACCTTTAGACCGTTGACCATTGGACCAGAGACCACGAGTGAGTTATTTTGTTGTATAAAGTAAAGGGTTGAGAGGACACGTCCCAATGGAGTAATAAGATTAATTACAAAATATCCTTAACATATTTTTAACAATGAAACTTCCGTTAATATAATTATTACAAACTTTTAACTTCTCTTTTGAAATGTCCTTTCTCCAAGTTCCTAATGCACTTTTAAAAAGCCTTTTGGTAAACTTATTGTAACACTTATTTAAAGTTTTATACTATGCATTAAAAGGACATATTTTACGCAAATTCTAGTGCTGAAAAAGACATATTTTCATTTTTTATCTGAGTATTTTTAAAGTTAATTAGATTAAGATAATATATTAATCTAATTATCTTTGAAATATAGATAATTGATTACACTTATGTAAAATATTATTCTTATATAATATTATTATTATTATTTATTATTTCTTACGGTGAAGGAAAACATTGTGATGCAACCAGCGCATATCTGAGAAGAACTTCAAAGATATGTGTGAAGTTAACCAACCCGCACTTGGCCAGCGTGGTTGACTATGGCCTAATCACCCTTAACTTAGGGTAGACTCCGAGCCCCTCGGTGGGGACGTATAGTGAGCTGATGATGATGATGATGTTGAAAATATTATATATAGATAATATGTTTTGTACATGTATGTCTATGTGAAGTAATATAATTTGTTATTTACTGTTTTGTTATAATTTATGCAAGTAATATTTCATTACTTCATCATATTTTATTGTTATTTCTTTTTAAATTATACAACAGGTGAACTTGTTTTGTTATTATTCATTGTTTATAATCAGTCAGTGCACATACTAATGTTTAATTGACGAACATTTTATTTTTTTTTAATAACAGAAGTGGGCAAACGAGCAGCGGGAACACCGAGGTGTTCAACGACGCCCATGGACATCAGCAATACCAGAGGAACCGCAGATGCGTTGCCGGCCTTTGAGGTGGTGATTGGCTTGCTTCTTTTTTTTAACGATATAGCAATTAATTAAAGACATTTATACGAATAAAATTCATTTGAAGGTAATTTCAAAATATTATGTTGTCTGTTTATATAACGCACCAAGGATTTAATTTTTAACATATTTTTTTTTGTGAAATTATCTTTGGTTTAATTTATAGATAGCTGTATCGAGCGACTCCGTCCGCACGGGATTAAAAATAGATGTTAGCCGATTCTCAGACCTACTCAATATGCTCACAAAATTACATGAGAATCTTTTTTTTTGAGAAAGAGAAAATTTTGACACGAGAATTTTATATATAAGATTTAATAAAAAAAATATTAGAAGGACTAAAAAGTTAATTTAAAACTTCAGAAACATTTTAAGAAAACCTTAATTCACTTAGAAGCATTTAGTGCTAAACTTTAACAAAATTTCTACTGTCGCGTCGCAAACTTGTAAACACTTCGAATAATTAACTCGAAGAACGTCTTCAGTTTTCAGTTCTACAACAAAACTATTTACAAGAGCCCCTTTGATACTAACTTAGTCGGATTAAGGATTGACGTCGAACTAAGCAGAATGACATAATTACATTTTTGGTTTTATTAGACTAACCGTTGGTTACTGAGACCAATACCTTTGTTAAAAATCTATCGTTAACCCTCTCGTTACATATTTGACAAATCAGAGAAAGGAGATTTTGGTCGCAAAGACCATCGATAAATTGCTTACAATATATAATATAAAATTCCTCGGACTATAACGGATGTTTCTAAATTTCTTATGATGTATGTCTGTAACAGAATTTTAGCCTTATTCTTACGTATTCTATAAAAATGGGAATAAAATATTAAAGTAAAAAAAATGATTTTATGACTATAAATCAATATGAACCATAAAGCGCCTGTCCAAAGTCATTGGCAAATATGTTAGAACGCATTATGGCTGTTACTACACGACTACGTAACCTAGATTTCCGTATTTTGGTGTAATCACACATAAACTCTAACCATGTTTCCTTTCGTGAGCCACTACAATTTGTTTATCTTTGCAACAAGATCTGCAGCAACAAATAAAATAAAAAAAACTTTAAAAGTTTTAATACAAATAAAACTTTGAATATTTAATGAGTTGTATTTTAATATATGTTTGATAAACTTAAAAAAAACAGTCTAAAATCCAACTATTTTAGCACATTAAAATGGTTAATTTAAGAACTATAAAAGCATTTTATTGGATTAAATTACTTATATTAAGCAAATTTTCTCCGTTGTAAAACGAGAATAAACGTGAAATTTACAAAGCGTTGCGGTTGCTGACCACGACTGTGTTGCTTTGACGAGCCTTACTAAAGCTTTAGTCAGTATTTTAAATGAACTTCGACGTTCTAAATCTCTTCTACATTTCAAGATATGTTTCTATAAAAGAGAAAAATTTATTAAAACAAAGGATTTATATATGTGTACTAAAGCAAATAAAATTAGATATAAAGTTTCTTTTATATCAAATGGTGGCAAACGAGCGAGCGGCCTGAAATCGCTGAAATAGCAAAGTGACCGTTGCCCATAGACATACGCAATTGCATATGCGTTGCCTACCTTTAATCGACGGAGGAGAGGATGCACAGAAAGAAAATATTTTCCCTTTCCTTGCATCCTCTCATCCGGAAAGTCCACTACCATTTCCCATCCTTTCCTTATAAGGAAAAGGGTGTGAAGGGAAAGAGGACTAATATTGGCCTCCGGGACGCACACTCATCAGACGAAACGCGGAATAGCTTCCACTTCACGCCTGTCTTCTGTGTGGTCGTGGTATTTCACCGGGCGAGCCGGGCCGATTCGTGCGAAGATGTTAAAGCGGGCTCTACCACTGTCAAGTTAAGTTTTTTTATTTGTCTCTAACTTTAACAGTTTGGGAAGAAATTGGAATATCAAAAATAGCTTGGTTAGCTAAAATTGAAAACATATAATCTTCTTCAATAGTTAATTGTAGTCCACAACTAAATGTTAATAAAAGGGAAATAGGGTAACCACAATTGTAATTCTGTCCCAGTATCGAATGTTTGTGTAACTAAGTTAAAATATGTTCATATAGAGTAATATTGTAATAGACTGCTCGTCGGTTTCGAACCTCACTAATTAAACTAAACAATAGACACCTTTCCCAGGTAGATGATAATAAATTAAATATTTTAGAAACTCGGCCGAATGTAACCGGGGTCGAACAATTGCTATAAATTATCTTAACCCCTACTTAATTAACGTCTCTGTTATAAGGTCGAGCAATGACTTATCCTTATTTTTTTCGTACTCCGACTATTTTACCTACCTTATATTATACTTGAACAGGTAACTTAATTGTTAATTAATCATCCAGCAATTTCCTATAAAGATTGGTCAAGCCGTTACATGAAGTACCCGGAACAACTGCAGATTTGCGGACAGACAGACAGACAGACAAAATATTAAAAATAGTTTTTCATTACAAGTTAAGAAAATGATCACGTTCGCGAAATTAAAAATTTAGAACACCACAGGACAGTACACTAATCTACACCTCAGTGCAGGTCCTTAGAACTGCTAAGTGTTAAACGATTTCGCGTGCAGCAATTACTGAAAGTCGAATGTAATAAATTTCAATATGAATACATTTGTTAAACTTGCTTAAAATCTGTTGTTTATTTCTTTTATAAAATCAGCTACAATTTTTAAAACAATGCCGTCCGGCAAACAAATTTAATTAAACAAGTTCAGGTCAACGCCGGCGTATACGAGAGCATAATTCACAAAGCATAACCACAGAGTTACGACGTTCAACAGTCCTTTGACACATTTTCAGTACCACATCGCATTTACTTTCATGTAAACACGGCTTAAAATTATAAGGTCATTGTAAACCAGGGGTGACCAACTAGTGGATCGCGACATTAGACCAGTCCAGTAGTCGAGCATAGCAAGCCAAAAAGTATAAATATGTAAAACATAACAAAGCAGAAGATGCCCAGATGAAATGCTCACAGTAATATAACTGAACTCTTACAATTACCAAGTTAGAAATTCATTTTAACAGTGGTAAAGCCCGCATTAACATCTTCGCACGAATTGGCCCGGCTCGCCTGGTGAAATACCACGACCACATAGAACTCATGCGTCAAGTGGAAGCAATTCCGCGTTGCGTCCCGGAGGCCTAATTTTAGTCCTCTTTGTCCACCCACCCTTTTTCTTATAAGGATGGAAAGTTGAAATGGACTTACCGGATGAGGGGATGCATGGGAAGGGAAAATATTTTAATTCTGTGCATCCTCCGACGATTAAGGGTAGGCAAGGCAACGCATATACAATTGCGTGAGACTATGGGCAGCGTCGCTTCGGTATTTCAGCGATTTCAGGTGGCCGCTCGCTCGTTTGTCACCTTTTAATATAAAAATATGTTATTGCGACATACTAAAGTTTTGAGCATGGAAAAGTTTACAGCGATTTATTTCCAATCTGTAAACTATGTTAAAGTTATCTGGTAATTTAAGTGAACATCTAAGTTACGGACGCTAAATATCAATCAAGTGACTTTTATTACACAAAAATAAATCTTATCCTAAATAAAGACAAATGAATTTAAGGTTAAAAAGTAATATCCCGTGCGTCCCAATTAATCTTGTTAATCCTCAAGGAAATACATAAATCACTAGTTTAATTTTTGTTTCACTGGCTTATTACTGGTTGGGAACGAACAGAATTTTCGCTAAAAAAACTTAATATAAATTGGTAGCATATTAAAAAGTTAATATTATTATTACGAGAGTTGTGTAATG